TTGGTTGTGCTGTTATTACTAAGGTTGGTGACGCTGTTGTTGCGTTTGTTGCTGGTTGTGCTTTGGTTGTATCTGATGTTGGCTTGGCTGTTGTTGTATCCGTTGGTGGTTGTGCTGTTGTTTCTGAGGTCGGTGACGCTGTTGTTGCGTTTGTTGCTGGTTGTGCTGTGATTGTATCTGATGTTGGCTTTGCTGTTATTGTATCCGTTGTTGGTTGTGCTGTTGTTTCTGCGGTTGATGACGCTGTTGTTACGTTTGCTGCTGGTTGTGCTGTGGTTTTATCTGATGTTGGCTTTACTGTTGTTGTATCCATTGTTGGTTGTCCTGTTGTTGTTTCTGAGGTTGGTGATGCTGTTGTTGCATTTGTTGCTGGTTTTGGGGTTGACGTTGATGTTTCTGTTACTGGTGGCACAGTAGTCGTTTCTGGCATTTGATTGGGATCTTTAATACAAAAAAAGTTATGAGTCATTCAAAACTACTCGTAAAGCTAAAAAGAAGAGAACTATAACGAAATATCAAGTTGAATAACCTTTGTAGTTGAATTAAGTTTCAGCTTAAGACGACATCTATTCTTTTTCACAAGTTGCGACGGGCGCGAGGAGTATAAAAGACAAATCGATCGGCAAGACGTACCTACTACTAAATGGCTTTTAGTCTGACAGACAAACCGTCTGACGGACGGACTAATTGTTAAAAGATCTGCTCACTTAGCACAAAACAACATCACCTTGACAATGACGTTCTTCACCGTTCTTTTGCAGTGCACATGTTTGGCCACTAGGACATTTGACATTTTCACAAGAAACAGCAGTCTCTACAACGAAAGACAAAAGAAAGATATCACTTCCGTTGTGCTCTAGAACAAATAATTTAAATGATACTTTAACTCATGATGCCAGATAATATTGGAACTTGCCACAAAACTAAACGGTCTCTCTCCGCATCAAATCCTTGTAGAGGACGAAAAGACTTGCCAACTCATGTGCGCGTAGTTTGCGAGTGGTAATAAGAAATTTCCACAGGTGTTTATGATTCATGAAAGCCTTGACTGGTTCTGGTGTATCCCTCTCCCCCAGCGCCAGCTCCCCTCCTAAAGAATGATAAAGATCTCTGACCCGAAAAGCTACCACAAATTTGATATTCAAAAACTTAAAACGCAAAAATGGGCTCTTTTCATCTCTCCACCAGATTACTTTGATGAACTCTGCTTACTCACTTTCACCGTTCGTACAATAGCGCCAGGGAGTAGAACATCCTCCATGGTTATAGAGCTTGTACAGGTAGAACGCACCGCAGTTTATTACTTGAATCGATCGTTCTTGTTGACATTTTTCATTCCCTTCAGCTATACACAACCTCAAGGTGACCTCACCTTCACCAAGAAAAGGATGGTGATCTTTTAAGTACAGACGATCCGTGGTGCCGCACCTGCCCTTGGCAGGGGCTTTAATCGTGGCAAGGGCGTTGCCTGCGTTTCCAGACACTAAGTACCAATAATGCCATTCGTCCTGAAGGTCATTCCCATCACACTTGTCTGTTGCATCTTTATAGGTCTCCGACCGATCTCCTTGGTTCAGGTCTTTGTAGTCATCAAGTTTACAAGGATCTGTGGAAAGAGATAAGATCAGCAAAGGATAGTTAATCCCCATTCAAACTAACTTCGTTGCACCTTTAGCTTTCCTAGCAATCTCGATTTAGATCTTTTAATTTCTAGAAGACGAGCAGTGTCTCCCTTCCCCAATCCCCCTTCCACCCCCTACACTCAAAAGAAGCTTTTGAATAAAGCCCGTCAAATTGAGCAACCGGAGCGCAAGTACTAAATGAAAAAAAAAAAAAAAATTGCAGCTATAACCACGCTTAAGTTCTCCTAGGGTTAATGTTGCTGGTTACTTGAGTGCTGCTTAATTTTTTTTCATTGGAACATATTGGAATTACCTTCCCAAAAGAATCGTATCCCCATCAAAACCAACGCTTAAACATGATTTAAGAACGTGTCTTTGTAAGAATCAAACATCTTGGGAAATGAATATTTTCAACTCCCCTTCAAGTTTTACAACCAGTTAGGCACTCAAGGGGGATGCACAAACTTGTCCTTTGTAAGGATTGCAGCGTTCTTGTTACCATGGTAACAACGGCTACTTGTTCGAGGTCTGGGGCCTGGTTTTCATACAAAAAGACCGCAAAAAAATGTAAAATGTCTATTTCTCTATCTCAAGCTAAATACAACATTACAGATTGTTACTTCTAGCATACGTAGTGAGATCATTTGTCTTTATTTTGATACATTCAATTTTTCCGGGGAGTGGAACACATGAATACATTATTTATCTTGGTACAGTTTCGGTCAGTTTTGCAGTAGGGTAAAAGAGGGAAAACCAAGAACCGCCGGGGAGACGAATCGATTGCGACAAAACGTGCGAGAAAGTAAAACTATAAGATTTGGAGGACGGATGGTAGAGAACGAGATCCGCACAGAGCATTTATCGATCACGTTGGTCACCGTCCGAAGGGTGATAACGCTCCTGGAAATTTCTACCTGAGTCCAATTGAGAGCCCAAAATCCAATGTCTGGTACAAGATGGCTCCAACTGGTAGAAATGCATTGGCAAAGCTAATGCAGTATTTCGTCCATCACCTCCTTAGACGGAAAGTTCACAAATTCGAGTGGTCGCAAAACAGTCATCCAAGCGCTCTGTGATGATTTTGACTCACTGGAGATATCAGAGCTCACTGGCCACGCCAATCCGGAATCCATATCCAGCGACAGCCATAATCCTCTGGAAAAACAGCGGCGAATGTCGAATAAGTTGGTTGGTTTCAACCCAAGCACGACAACTACCAACGGCTATTCAAGTCATACTTTACGGGAGATTGTTCTCAAAAGCTCAGCCACGCCAAGCAACACAGAAGCTACTAGTGACCTTGACAACAATGCCAGTCGTTCTAGTTAGCTGATGGCAGGAGCAGTTGGCGGGATGTTTACTGGAGTAACATTTAATAATTCTCCAGTAATTAAATATTTCCATAAACTTTCAGTCCAGCGTGACACCAACGAGCGACTCCCTGCAATGAAAGAAAAACAGTTAAAGTTGTGACTTTTAACTTTTTTTGAACTGTTTTTCGTCAGAGTTTACCGAGAAATTTCAGTCTTAATCATTATATTTTGAATACACTTCTTTTATAACTGTAAAGCACTTACCGGTTTTTTGTAGATCTTGCTTTGATCACCAGAACGCTTGAAATTTTCATTTCGCTTGAGGATTTGACCATTCAGTTGTTGATTGTCGGCGCCACATTTTGCCAAGTTGAGTGGTAGCAGCCAAATCTCTGTCTTAAATAACTCCGTATTTTGTACTTTAAGTTTATTGTTGAAGATTGTAAAATGTGAGGCACTGCTTTCTCCACGAGTTTGAAATAAACGTGGTTTTCATTCTAAAAATATCTTGTTCCCTCTATTCCCTTGATATTGACATCTGACTTTGAAAGAGTTTCCATTGTTTGCGCACTGGCGTGGCGCACAAAAATACAAAACATCTGATTTCGCCCAGTGATTTGGTGGCTTTAGCTATGCGATTCAAGAAAAATTCACGAGGTACAAATAAAATTGTCGACGGTTCAAACGTCAACGACTTTCTTTGCCTTCTATTCCCTTAGCAATGACAGTTCTGACAGTTGACCTTAAAATGGCTTTCTAGGGCACGCTTACGGGATAAAAACAAACAACAATGTTGCCGTTTTAATTTCTTGTTTTCTCATTTTTATTCAGTTGTGCGATTCAAGAAAAATTAACTGCCTGACTCGTGAATTCCAGGTTAAATTTCACTTGAAAGTCCGATATCGCACTCATCGCTTCGCGATTCGTGTGATTTCGGTTTTTCGCGTGAAATTTAACGTGGAATTCACGAGTCAGGCAGAGAATTTTTCTATTGAAGATAACATTCCTTCAAAGTCTTGCACTTTTTATTTGTCTGAAACGTTTGTTGTTGACAACATTAGATGTGAACATTGCCAATTTATGCAATATCTGCCTTTTGAGCTTCGTTCGCGAATTACCACTATGAAAAGTAGACGTCGGCCCGCAGAGATTTTTCCATATATAAAAACTAGAATATTATAGCCAATTAACTAAGTGCGCAGTTTCAGTGTCAGAATCGGTATACTTTGGGAAAAATTTTGACAAACGTTTTCCCTGTTTTACCCTACAACAAAATGACCGAAACTGTACTAAGATAAATAATATATTGATGTGTTTTCATTCACTGCGGGAAAAATTGAATGCATCAAAGTACAGACAAATGATGTCACTATGTATGCTATAAGTACGAATCTGTAATGTTGTATTTAGCTTGAGATAGAGAAATAGACATTTTACACCTTTTTTGTGATCTTTTTGTATGAAAATGAGGGCCCAGACCTCGAACAAGCGGCCGTTCTTACCATGGTAGCAAGATGCTGCAACCTTTAAAAAAGTGCATTTTTGTGCATCCCCCCTGAGTGCCTAAATGCATGAAAAATTTGAAGGGAGGTTGAAAATTTTCATTTCCCAGGTTGATTGATCCTTACAGAGAATCGTTTTTAAAGCTCGTTCTTGATAACGGTTTGGAATTGTTTTCTTCATAGACGGTGCTCAAACCGATGTTCATCGAATTTGATGAAACATAATTTAATCCTATGGAAAATTCAGGGTTTTAGTTCTCTGTTTCTAATTTTCATCTTAATAGCCCAGATTTAAATAAAAATGTTTGCAGGTGTAAATGGAATGGTAGATTTCTATTCAATCAGATTACTATTCTGCCCTTTTAACTCCTTTAAACCAGGTTTAACTTAGAACGTTTAGCTGGTCCGAATTAGGTATTGGATCTCTACACTTCGAATGACAATCTCTGTTCCAGTCGAACTTCACATGAGATCATTTAGTCACGGGCTAAAGATTTAAAGATTTCCTTAACATATTTATGGATTTTCAAGTGTTGATGATTACAAACAGCGGACATCCTAAGAAAGGATTAAACCTTGAGAGTCGCCTTCTAGATCTTCTTAGTTTGTATAAATAATTGAAGTCTGATGGAATGATTTATGCTGCAATCAAGTAAGGCCAAACTTTGAATGCTTTGTTCAAAAACTAACCTCTAGACGTTTCTGTTTGTCATAAACTATTAACTGTTTCGCGGAATGTTTTCTGGTGCTATTACATGCAAAAAAGGATAAAAGGACTTCTTCCACTCTCTTGAATACCTTATTTTGATTTTATCGAGTGCAGATTATTCATGTATTCACGTAACTGTTTTAACACGCTTTAGTTCTGAAATTCAATAGCTACACTGAAGATATCAACGTCTGAGAAACGAAAATAAATTAATTGAAATGGATGTCTTTTCTGTTTTATGTTTCCCACCGATATAGATTTGTCAAATAGAACACAAAGGAAACCGTTTTGTTTACAAACAAACTGAGAAAGTGTGAAATGATCCATAATATCAAGAAAAAATTCAACTTTTTTCTACACTCCCGTCCTCCGATAAGTACCTCTGAGCTAGTTTTGATGCACAAAGTTTTTAACTACAAACTCAACAAGGAAGTTAAGTCATGAAAAGTTCTGTTTATCAAAAGAAGAATTGATTCAAATATTACCTTCACCGAGTAAAACACTCAAATTGTTGGCAAAACACAACACCCAAAATAAGCTTAGCTGCAAAAGGAAGGGAAAAGAAAAAAAAAACAGTTAACAGGTTGTGATCCTTTAATGAACAAACCACGGTAATTTCAGTAGTTTTAACTGTACCTGAAAGATGTTCATCTCACTTTCTCCTGAGCACAAAAATTAATGTTGTTTGGAGGTAGGACTCCGCAGAAACGCTGTATGGCACCAGCGGCGTTCTTTTCTCAAAGATGAATTCTAATGCAGTCTTAATTAACACTTCCACTTAAGCCAAGACGGAATTATTAAATTGCGTAATCTAAGGGTGTTGAGACAATAATGCACAAATAGCAAATTGACCAAGCTGGATCTACTTTCAAAGTGACAAAGAAGTATTTTTGAGTTACGGTTCCCATTGGACTTTCAACTGTGGCTAGTCTCACGCCACCTATTTCCACGTTTAATAATTAATCATCCATAAAATGACCCCGAGAGAGTTCTACAAAGCACGTTTTACCTTTATTTTTAGGCCGAACAACAAAGGTTATGGCATTATAGTAATAGCATGGACCCAGCTCACTGATTTGGAACTCGGAGACGCCACTGTTTCCGAGATGTCGTCAGGAAATTGTGTTATCTGGCGAAATTGTGCTATCATATTAGTGTACTGTTGTGTCATGATGTCGTAAGTTGTGTTATCGTGACCTTTACAAGGCCCGAAACCCTCTCACGTAGACGCTTGATCCATCGTCAACTTATCATCTCCTCTAACGACATTTGATAAAGCAAAAATATGTTATTTGATAGACCAAAAATTACTCACAATACCAATGTTCAATAAGGCTGTTCAAACTGACGTCGTCTGAGCCGAAGTTTTAATTTAGCATTTTTTCAGGCCTAAAGTAAGAACAAAAAAAACACATTCACAGCTTTCCGTAGAAACCTACTTTTTCTTTTTTTTTTTTCTTTTTCATTCCGACCATCAAAATACTCTTAATTTGTTACGGGCGTCATTAAACTTCATTGTTAAACATCGTTATTCGTGAACCCCTAAGAAAGGTCTTAACACAGGCTTGATTTCCGCGTATTTTGCAAGTCTGGTCTTCGATCCTCCCGAGAGAGAACTAGTTCGGGTGGGGGGGAGATTCGTTACTCGAATAGCAGCTTGCTATCGAGCGTAGCCTTGACGTCAACAACCGTGATGGTAACCTATTTTGGGACACCAATGATAAATAACAAGTCTAAGACAAAGAGTTCAATTATGCAAGAAGTCCACTGCGGACAATGCTTTTTATTATACTAATATCTTCTCAATGAAATGAATTTAAATTTTCTGCAATTATTTTGATTCCAGAAAATGATTCGCTAGTGTATATTCTGCAGACAGCAGAGCTCGATGTCTGCTGTAGATAGCGTTAGTAGCTGAATCGCTATTAAGTTACAGGGCAGATTGATTATCATGCAAAGTTTCACTTTAATTTTGAGATCATTTTGACAAGTAAAGAAAATCCAAGCTTCGAAAGGGAAATATAAGTATTCAGACAAAGAGATCGTGATCTCCTGTAATTAAGTAACACGGCACTACTTTAATCGATTTTTGTCTTTACTATATTATAAACAATCTAGATATCCGCCGTTCGATAATGGATCGTGATGACTGCATTTGGGGCATATTCACTTATTTGTTTCACTTTTGATCGATACAGCAACTCTTCTCAAATAAATCATTTCTCGACGTGTATTATATCATTTACTCCACATACTTACTGTCTGCAATTTACTCTGACAATTCAATTAACGAAGAAATGTACGCTGAGCTGCTCCATAGTATTAAAAGCCAGTATAAATAAATGAATTTTAACGCGCGTACGCAAATATTTTCAAATATATTGGCATCTCAACTGTAATATCGCATTCCAAAAAGTCCCTCTTAAAGTAAATGATATCTTTCAGTTTTCTCGCAACACAAAAGCAAAACTGCGCTGTTTACTCCTAGGACAAGTTTTTACCAGGACAAGGTTTTACCAGGTAAGTGAAAGTGGTGCTACATTTTTGCTTGAAAAAATACATACCATGGCAAATTTGAAACAAAACACGATAATTAAGCTGTAATTTGTACAGGATCTAATTTAGACAGTTGAGTATTCATTTCGACCGAGAGGATGTCTTCTTGCTGCTGTCAACATGGCGTAATAATCCTTCCATAAGATATTCTTGATAACCTCTTTGAAGGTATTTTAAATCGATACGAATGAAAGGCCGAGATTTGAAGCAGTGAGTATGGAACTACAATTTGGAGTTGGGTATCCTTGGAAAATATCTTGCATAACATTTGGCCTTCTACATACTTCTAGTACTCAAACGCTTAACATCAGTTCAACTTTGTACTTGCTCGGTCCAAAGTAAAGCTCCCAACAGTTTTAACAGAGACAGCTTAAAGTCTTTAACATTGAGGGAACGATCCCGATTTGCTACCATCAATTTACTTTCGCATTTCGTTATTGGCTACTGAATGAAGCAGGCTTCTCACTATTACCATTTTGATCTAGACATGCTTTGTAAACTCTTGGGGTAAATTTATGCGGTTTTCCTTATTTGCTTATAGAAGCTGAGCGGGTTAGTTATGTATCAAGTTTAGTATATTGATGAGTTTTTTTTTCTGCTATAGTAGCATAAAAATAAGCATATTTACGTCAAAAAATATATCGTAAAGTTTTCCTAACGCGACTATAAAACTTATGCAAATGCAAGGGGCTATATTCCTTTCACAACCAAGCTTAAGAATATTGTGCTTTGATTATGACACTAGTAATTAACTGTAGACTTATCACTTATTGCTGAGCTATTAGAGGTAACCAACATATACCAGAGTAAATTGACAAAAGGGGGTAGGTTTCTGAATAAACTGTGGTGCTGCGTGTGACGAGGGTTTCATAATAGAATTTGGTCAGTGGTTCGAATCCCGTACAGGCCTGAATTTTTTCAGGTCTGATTTTCACTATTGCTTAAATAGTTCTTTTACTACGAGGATCGTGCACATATACGTTTCATAACCGCAGTTTACGTAGTTCATAATTTGGATACATCAGCAAAGTTGAAATGGTAAACTGGCCACCTTAACGATTACAAAAGCTGACGTTTCGAGCTTAGCCCTTCGTCGGAGCGAACCGAAGGGCTAACGCTCGAAACGTCAGCTTTTGTAATCGTTACGGTGGCCAATTTACCATTTCAACTTTGTTGATATATCCAAATGATTTCGTTGCTCCCACCGACGCAGCCCCAAACAGTTTCTTTCGAAAGTATCAGCCTTTATTCATATGTATTTCATACATTCGTTGTGAAGAATTTGATCTTCTTAACTGAGATGAACATTTTAGTCTGACTTGCCCTTTGAGTTCCCATATCTTTGAAACAGTTTTATGTCACATCGAAACCAGTCGCTAGACATTTTAATTTACCTAATCATTCTAAGCAACATATGGCAATCTGTGGTCTTTCCTTACACTTAGGTGGTACGGAAAGCCGTAAAAATCTTGAACAAAAGCTCATCTTTCAAACCGGCAGTCTAAATCCCACAGGGATCAACGAACGCTTTTCCTTTCACTAATTTATTCTTGTTTTTTCTCGTTGCCATGTTCCCACCAATAACGTAGCTCCATTCTCTGCCTTTAAAAGCACACACAACCCACAATTCCTCTATTCGCTCCGATGAAGGGCTAACGCTCGAAACGTCAGCTTTTGTAATCGTTACGGTGGCCAATTTACCACTTCAACTTTATCCAAATTATTTCGTTACTCCCACCGACGCAGCCCCAAACAGTTTCTTCCGAAACTATCAGCCTTTATTCAGATTTATGTCATAGTTTCACATATTTAAAATCTTAACTCTCAGGGTTTGAAAATGCAGACTTTATGCTTCGTTTGATGATCGAGCATATTCCCAATGGTCAAATACACGCATTGTTTGTATGACAGTTACAAAATAAAAAGGTAGATTGAAGGAATTAAAATGGGAGCGTTTCAATTAATTAGCACTGAATTAAAACAGTTTCTTGTCAAACAATGCAAACAGTCAATGAATAGCAGATAATTTTCTTAGGAGACTGTGATGCTGAGTCGGTAAGGTCTTACGAAATAATTTGGTTTCATCACAGGCTTCCAAATCTCACGTTTCGAGGAAAAACGAAAGATTATTTCTTGAAAGCGTCACGCGCTGTGTCACGCGGTGTTAACTTTCGCGTGGAGCCGTTAAGAATTTGAATGCATTATAAAGAATAGTATGGGCAACGAAATATATACCTCTTATTAACCAAGTGCAAGAGCCGTACTGGAAGAATATCGGCCCGAGGTGTTGACAGTACGGACCGAGTGCAGCGAGGTCCGTACTAAAAAGACCGAGGGCTGATATTCTTCCAGTACGGTCCCGAACAAGCTTGGTTAATAAGAGATTTATTGTACAACTGAAGTTCAAAGGGACACAAGTGCGGTATCATTCGGGACCATTCCGGACAGTGATTGGTTGATTTTAGTTAGTGGCCCTCTGACTGCCCGAGTCGTGTAATAAGGTCCATTTACAACACTAAACATTCCAAACTATGAACATTTTACACTTAGGATTGATAAAACTGACTCACTTCTTGTGTGTCCGTTGTGTATCTCACTGTTTTCCTGTTACTTAGTGTTTTAAATGGACCACATTTCGTTAAAAGAACGCATTCAAATTCTTAGTGGTTCCACGCGTAACGTAGCAACACGTCAAACAACGCGTGACGCTTTCAAGAAATATTCTTTCCTTTTTCCGCGAGACGTGAGCTTAGGATGCCTGTGGTTTTATCAAATAAGTCGACAATGTAAACCGACCAGCGCAAAGAGTTTCTAACGCGTTTCAAGAGTTATCCTTTCGTTAAAACATTGGCTAAAGAACGTTAGCCCTTTCACTCTGACTTACGAAACGTCAAATTTACACAGAAACCCTTTACAGTGGACAATTGACATTATAAGCTCCGTTGATAAATGCATACGGTACATTTAAATTCGAAAACAAAAAAACAAAGGGAGAGAGACAAATAATTACTTAAAACAACTGTTGCAGACATCAGGTTTGAATGTCACAGCTTGTGATTTCCCATACGAAATTTTTAAAATTTCCGTTTAAGAAGCAGTTAACTGGAGTCACCTATCGCTCTTCTGTTGTGCTTTTATAACTGAATGATATGGCGTTTAAACGAGTGCTCCTTGGCCGATTTTTTAACCAGAACTGGAATCAGTCGCCGTCGCTACTACAAGATGAGTAAGTAATGCGAACGAACCTTGAAGTTAGAAACATAACAATACTGGTGATTCTTGCATGCATTTGAGTCGAAAGCGTGTGCGATTATTCAAGCATTACATTATCGTTACTGTGCATAGAATCCTGAATGACCGTACTCTGATGGCTCCAAATTATGTCAAAATGTATGGGAATTGTATATCAGAGAAGGTTTTCGCACACAAGTCTCGAGTCAAATGAGCTGAATCGACGATTCATGGCATAGCTCGGTGATTTTGGCTTTTACTGACTTAAACAGCATGTCAGAATTTCTAATGTACACAAGCTTGCGATTGGCCCGATCGCGACGATTTCAAATAGCCGATCCAAGTGAGAAGCATATTTTGAGTTACAATAAGTTCTCTATAATTAATCTTGAGTCAAAGATGCTTCATCAAAGTATCTTAGTCATTCTTTGAGCTATCTTAATTTAATCCAAAGACTGATTAATTACGTTTCAGTTGAATAATAAAAAGAATACTAGTTCTAGGCCCCCCATTTTGGTCTTCAATTGGTTGTTACTTATTCAGTCTTATTCGAAGTAAAAGTTGACTAACCTGTTATTGTAAATTATAATAGCTATGTTTCCCATCTCCCTTTTGATAAAAGCAGTGCTACTAAAGAAAGCGAGTTAGAATACAAATATTTCACACCATTTATCACTACCCTGAACATCGCAATTAAAAGAGGTAAATGACACGATGATGCTTCAAATAATAGAAGATCTTGTCAGTCTCTTTAGCAATGTACATTTGGTTTGTATTGTTGCGTGACAAAGTTAACAAAAAAAATTAACATTTTGTCCATCCATGAATTTTTCATTGCAAGGTAACAGGAGCAGCCTCAGTCACACGTAAAGCAAAACATGCAATCAAAAGATACCACAGCAGATGGAGAATTCAGCGTGTCTATTGATTTACGAGGAAAAGGACACTGCTGCTTTCAGAGACACCCATTACTTTCATCCGGAATTGAACAAGCACAAAATAGGTCATTTGCAATAGAAACCCAAGCATCACCTGACCAAGTAGGCCAATTATATTTTTCTTCAATATTCTTTGAAAATCGTCTCCCTCAATTCCTTGTTATTTTTAATTGTACAGAAATTGGTTCATTTGAAATGTACTCATTGATACTGCTCCTGTATCAGTCCTTTGTTAAATGAAGTAAGGATGTTACCATACGTCGGTGATTGCGTATTTTTGCCTTTTTTCTTCTCCCCCCTCCCCTCTCACTTTTGAGATAAAAAAAAGGTAGAGTCTATCCTCGAGCCTATTGGTCTTACCCAGCCAATGCTTATCCCGGTTTCATGTAGCAGGTGACTAAGAGTATCACTACTCCCACCTGGATGGGATACTACTCCGTCGCAAGGCTACCCCCCCCCCCTTGTATTTTATCAGCTTTCTCTGACAATTCACCAGTACCCATTTACACTCCTGGGTGGAGAGAAAGGCACTGTGAGACTAAAGTGTCTTGATCAAGAACACAATACAATGACCGAGCCAGGGGCCCGTTTCTCGAAAGTCCTGGTAACTTAACAGGCCCGCCTGAAGCCATGTTTCAAAATCCAAATCTAAAAGATAGCAAGCAGGTTCTGGCACACAAACCGGTTCTTCTTTGTTTATTTAGCGGACAGGTTCATTGTATCATTTTTAAAACGTTTAAAATCCTCATCTTGAATGAAAACAGGACAGTTTTACGGGCCTGTTAGGCTACCGGGAATTTCAAGAAACGGACCCTAGGGACCCGTTTTTCGACGGCCCCAGTAAGTTATTTTTATCGGGCTGCTATTTTTACATTCAAGACGGGGGTCTTTAAACTCTTGAGGATTATTGAAAAAAAAAATAGCGACTAAAGAGACAAAATGGTATAAGAGCCTGCTTCTCTATTTATTAATCATTAAGTTACTGGAACTTTCGGGAAGCGAGCCTTAGGTCTCGAACCCAGACCTCTCGACCGAGAGTATTGCGCACAGACCATTAGGTCACTGCGCCTTCCACTTTCCTACTTTAAACTATGCTCAAAACCGAAAGAAGTGACGCAAACCATTTTTGTTTCTTGTAAACGTAAATACATCACGGGCATTAAAAAAGCACTCAATGTGTTAATGATATCTCTGTACCTTTTTACAGACCAGTCCTGTTATGAAATCAAACGAAAAGAAGCGAAGAACTTCAAGTGAATGGATGAGGAAATATTTCTTAGAAGGTCAGTACGCTATAACTGTATTCAAAGTAATTTAAACAAATAAATCTGGGCATAAAAGTTACTGATTAATAAGATAATGATGAAAACAGTCACATTATCATAAAATTTGCTGCCATCCAGGTCAAGCTTTGACTCCTACTCAGACCCAGGCTCTTGAAACACTCGATCCGAGCGCGCCATGGTATCAGAGGCTCATTGTCAAGCACCGCCGGCTAATGGGCGTAACTATTCCATTTATTTTCTTTCAAGTCATATGGTGGAGTTGTGCCATCAAGTACAACTTCTGGAGCTTGTTTCCTGGTAGATATTTCATGACAATAACAATGGTTCTCGGTTCCATGATTGCAGGTACACCTTTATATTCGAAGGTCACTGATCTCGCTTCCTTTCACAAACAGAACATAATAAATTATCTTAATGTACTCAAATATGGAGTATGTGACGTTGATTTTCAGAGGAAATTAAACCTGCACTGCAATCCTTTGCTGTGAGTGAACAATCTTTTTTTATCTAGCTTTAATCAACTTGCTGTTTAATACAGTTGGAGAACCATTACAAACTAAGCCTCAGCCCAATTTTTTGTTCGCTGTAAACATTTTGATTACCTATTTTACACCCATTCTCTAGTCCTCACGGAAAGTTATTTCTGTGAAATGATTGTTTGACATTATCCTTTGGGTAACCTTTTCAAAGATTAACGAAGACCACACAGGTATACGGGCAGTGCAAAAAAGTCGCATTCCATTATTTAATACTTTATTATTTATTATTAGTACTTATCTTTAGTAAAAAAAATTAACAGACAAGGCCTTTTTTTTCGGTCATAGGAATGACAAGTGAAGGTGGAGGCGCAGTCGCTTTTCCCGTCATGACCCTCGCTTTTAGTATTGCACCAGAAGTAGCACGTGACTTTTCACTTATGATTCAGTCCTGTGGTATGACAGCAGCGGCTTTCACCATCTTCTGGATGCGCGTGCAGCTTGAATGGCACTCCGTGACATTCTGCTCCCTCGGAGGAATCTTCGGTATGATAATCGGCTTAGAGTTTATCGATCCTCAACTCACCCCTCCCCAGAAAAAAATGGGATTTGTATGCATGTGGTTTGCATTCGCTTTTGCTCTGTTTCTTTTGAATCGCAATCACAAGCGGAAAACATATACGACTATCCCAGAATTCAAATTGTGGAAGCTCATTGTACTTCTACTGACCGGATTGATCGGTGGAATATTCTCAGCTATCGCAGGAAGTGGCGTAGATATCTGCAGCTTCAGCGTTCTCACCCTTCTCTTCCGTGTAAGCGAGAAGACCGCCACACCTACGTCTGTCATCTTGATGGCAGGAAACACAGTAGTGGGCTTCTACTGGCGTCAAGTCATCCAGCAAGCGGTGAGTGCCGAGGCATATCATTACCTGGCAGTTTGCGTGCCTATCGTTGTGTTGGGTGCTCCAGTGGGATCCGTGATTGGGAGCCATTTTCATCGTCAGATTCTAGCAAGTTTGATCTATCTTTTGGACACTGTTGCTCTTATAAGTGCTTTTTTAATCGTGCCTCTCTCAAATGCTTTGATTATGGCCTCCGTGGGTATCATAGCGTTCGGATTTTTCTTCTTTGGGCTGATAGCTTATGTTGGAAAAAGAATAATGGAAGGAGTTGAAAACATAAGAGAACGACAAAGACAAGGCTGTTGTGAGGAAGATGCCGATGAAAATAGAATGGAATCAACTGCTGCAGTTAAAACCGTTTACGACAAAGACAAAGGTCGTCGTGTTGATCTTGAAACGCTAGAAGTGGCCCAGGGGAAAAGTAAAAAATTAAGGGTACAAGATGTGCAAAAGCTGGACACACTTTACGAGGTGTAAAAGAAAAATTGTGAATTGGCCATTGTTATGTTGTAGATTGCTTGCGAAATACATTGGCTCCGAACACCAAGATGTCAATCAGTAGAAGTATGATGGTGAATATCAACCCGATCATGATTGAATATATACGAATATATTTATGTCTTATCCCAGAAGAAGAAAATGGGGACTCGTAGCTTTTTTACTTTGTGAAACGCTCGTGACAATGCGAACGACATACTTCTTGCATGAAGTGACCTCTTCCTTCATGTCGAAATTATCTATCAAAAATATTTTTAACTTTAAATTTCTTAATTGCGTATTTGTGAGGTCCTCCAAAGGTTATTAACTTCAAAATGTACATGCTTAGTGAAAATCTTAGAAAGGGCACGCTCTCCATACACGCTCACATGCATTTGTCTATTTGTAATAGCCTTAATTATTGCCCCCTCACCCCTCCCCCCAAGTAGTCCCGTCTATAGTGGTCTGATTTTGCTGCACGCTTCTAGTGGTGATTGTTGTAATAACACAGACCGCGCACGCTCGACAGAATATCGATAGGTATAATGTACGTTTCTGTCTTGTCGAAAATGCGCCTTTTAAAGAATGTTAATGATGAATTCGGGTCAAAACGAGCTCTTATAACGCGAACGAGACGAAAAGCTTAAAATGCATTATGCTTGATTAGCAAGTATTTTATTACTCGTACAAATCAATCTGCCTCTACTCGTGGACTGTGTCGCGGAAAAAAATATTCCTTGCATACATGAGCAAATCTGATGCTGCTCAATAAAATTGCGCTTAAGTAGACATTCCCTACTAAATTTCATTGACAAATGTACTTGTAAATTTATTTACCCAAGAAAAGTTTGTTGTTAACAATTTTGAGTAGGGTCAAATCAATTATCGTGGCATAATTTAGGACAAAATGCTATATTCAATGCCACGAGCTTATCGTCGGCAAATTGACCGAAATTCTTGAAAATTCCCTTGATGTTACAGTCCAACATGAGATAAAATCCTTAGCCTGAATATTGTCAACAGCGAGCCTGCTTTTCTTGCTGGCACTTTAGGAATTCTAATCCAGAAAAGAAAACTATTAAGCGTTACTACCGGTATTTTGAATTATTTCTGAAATTGAGCCTGATGAAAAGTTTCGAGCAGAATGTTTACGCATGTTGCCATGATTTCAGGGTTGACTTTTAAGGCATTATGCTCAAATTTTCCTGCAAAATTCATCGGACCCTAACTCTGAGATCCTTATCATAAAACTGACTGAGACTTGTTTAGAGAAAACAGACCCAAATTGACTTCTTTTTCAAAACGAAGCCTGTTGCTTAACCATTCTTGTGAAACTGAGTTTTATTTGCATTTTCTGACTTACGTTTCGTATCACACTTCAGCAGGAATTTTAAACCAATTGACTTTAATTGGGAAAGAAAAATGGAAGGTGGAAGGTCCAAGAAAGACAATCAAGCAGAGGACCGGAAATAATGGGAAGATAGGGCGATAAAGAGCAGAGGAACGTGAAACGGAACGGTCATGACTAAAACACCACAAGAGTACATACGGGTAACATACGAGTAGCATACGAGTAACATACGAGTAACATACGGAACATGCGAATACATACGAATACATACGACTAACATATGAGTAACATACGACTAACATGCGAGCAACATACGAGTACATAAGAATACCTACGAATACATAAGAAGACATACGAGTAAAAAAATACGAAAAAGTACGAGTAAAATTCATGCGAGTAAAGTTTTATACAAAGTAACGACAACTTAAGTAAAAGACAACATGAGAGAGCAAAAGATATTTGATATTTGCTCGTTACGCATTATATCCCCGACTAAGGAAATATCGCGTTACAAGGGCAAAGATCTTTGATATTAAACCACAGGCAGCCAAAGCGTACTGTGTGACTTTGGGGTGTAAAGTACATTGGCGGTAATAACTAACATATTAAAATCGAACTAACATATTAAGATCGAATTTCAAACGTACGTGTGGGCCGTTAAAAAAGGATAATAAATTCGAGGAAGAAAACATGCGAAGTCTCCTTACCTTTTTTCCGTAGCCGCTTTGTTGCCAACTGTCGTTTTAACGCTGTTTTGGCGACTTGCTTTGTAACGCATGAGGTGTCAACAGTCAACTGTAAAATAGGAAAAATTATAAAAAAATTACGAAAAAATTAAAAAGGAAAATAAAAGCGCGGAATATACCGCATGAAGTATCCTTTCCTTATTCCCCGTAGCTTCTTTGTCGTTCACGGTCAATTGCCCTTTCCGGAATTCAACGGGAGCCTGAGGCGGAACTTAACACGCGAAGCACCCTGGGGCTGTTTTTGGAGACGCGGGAATAGCCCACGAATTTTAATCATGACAGAGTTATCGGTAGAAAAAGATAATATTACGAGCCTGTTACTAAACGAAGATGATATTCCAGGCGCAAAACTAAATACACCTGTTGAGCAATGTACCATTAACGTTCTAAAGCGATGGTTAAGCTGCCGTGCTGAGCGAAAGTTGGTGGCAAAAAAGAAGAACTTGTGATAAGGTATTTTAGCTTGATGTCAACACTGTTTGTTCAGTTATCTTTAAAACCTCTTGAATGGAAATTTTCCACAGATCATTAGCAGAATATATCAATATGATTGGGCAATGTAGAAAGCCGAGATCAAGTAAATTTCGACAAAATCGTTTTGTCTTCTATTCCATCAATTTCAATAATATCTTCTGGAACAATCTCATCTTTCGGATTTCTTTGCT